CACTTCACCATTGCACCCCCATCAGGCCCCCCCCACCCATTTTAAGTCGCCTAAATATGCTACTGGTTGAGGTACATTATAGGGGCAGAGTACCTGAATCTTGCGTCTGTTTTGATTGCTAATTCTGTGCATGTTATTTAATATTTGGATGCTTTTCATTTCTCATAATATCAATGGTTAATGCTGTTGTTTTGACCTTTGACAGGCTATTCAGGTTTTTTGCCATTACATCCAATGAGTGTGGTGCTAGCTCGAAGAGCAAGACAACGAGAACAACAACTTCTAGCCGCAGCTTCAGAACAACAGAGTAAAGAATCGGAACTCACATCTTGATACCGTCCAGAAAAGTACTTTCAGTTGCCATCAATAAGCGATGTACATAATAGTACATCTTGTGTAATTTCTCAGTTGCCTAGCAACATAGAAGTGTTTACAAACAGAACATACATTTAAATTTGTTGGAATTTAGAAAAATATTGTACTAATGAGTGATTATGGCTGAAGGTTCTGTATCATTCATATCAACTTTATTAATGCTGTGTGTCGCACATAAGAAGAAAAATTGTTGAAAAAATATAATTGTTGTCTTTAGCAACTGAGAATTAAATATGTTTTCCTAGATTTATTATAAAAAAAATATGTTAGTAACCTGCCTGGTTTGTTGGATTTAATTTATTTGCATTGTGTGATTTCGAAGGCCACTTTGCCCAATGTTTCACTGTTAAATATTTAGCTGCAAAATTATATTTACTTTACATTTAATTTTTTACTTTGAACCTAATAAAGTAATAATTAACGAAACATACCTTGCTCGTACTCTTCAATTGCGTGAAAATAGCCACCATCAACTCTATAAATTGTTTACGATTTGCAATCTTTGAATTATCCTTAATATTTTTAAAATTCTACAAAAATCATTCTACAGTCTTAAGTGAATCCTAGGTACAATAATTGTCTAGAAAATTCTGAAGTCTAATAGAATCCGTCTGAATTGCGTGAAAATAGCCACCATCAACAATATAAATTGTTTACAATTTGCAATCTTTGAATTTATCCTCAACATTTTTAAAATTTTACAAAAATCATTCTACAGTCTAAATGAATCCTAAGTACAATAATTGTCTGGAAAAATTCTGAAGTCTACTAGAATAATACGAACATGATGAACTAATTGCAATTTACATATATGAAATTGGAAGTTTGATAATAATTCATAATAAAATTAATACGGAATTGCACAAGACAGAGAAAACAAAAATAAAGACTAATACATACAAATAGTTGTACCGTTTGTACTTAACTGAGTTACCGACCTAAAAAATCTTACTTTTTTTTATACCTTGTTCCAAGCATGGAGGAATGAATTTAAAACTAATTCCTCAATGTTCCAGCTGTGCCTGGAAGGTCAGCTGGTACTCAGTAGGGGCACTATCTGAAAACAACAACGATAACAAACAATAACAATCCAACAACATTGCGACATGGAATTAGAATACGGAGAAAAGATAGCAATAATATACTAATTTGAGTAAGAACCAAAAGTTTGTGACGATTTGCCGTCTAGGGCGTGCACATATCTGGAACAAATATAGTATCATTTAGTTGCTTTATCCTATGAAATGCACGCCGTGATGATGGGATTGAATCCCAACACGTGCATTTGAATACTTAGAGAATGTATTGTACTTTCCTATTTATGTCCATTAAAAGACCGTAAAAATGATTTTACACTAGTAATATTGGACAAAAGCAACACACGCAAGAACTCGATATTCAAAGTGCACTACTGTGGAAGGAGCACTTGAGATATTGCGGCTGATACAAAGGTGTATGCTCACGAAGTTGGAGTCAGTAAATAGTTGCTTTTTCTAAACGTTTTGACAATCCATGGATATTTCGGCGGGAATTTACTCTTTCGTCGGAGAAATCGTCAGGAAAAAAGGATTTCCCGATCACACTCTGGTGGTGAAAAGTCAAGAGATTCTTTGGTTCTCTTCAAATTTTTATGCCATCGATTTTTCATAACGACAGGACATAGCGCACTTGGTGCGGTACTAACATACCGGTACGTTCGATATAACACAGAGATTAATTCCTGACAGCAAACGTACAATCAACTTGAGAGATGTAATACAGCTATTAACAGACAATGTATGACCTCCTTGTACAAACTAAAAAACACGTTAACTGCAAGTTTGAGGCGAAAGCATTTAATACTTCGTTTTTATTATTAAAAAACGTGATCAGTCTATAGGCTACATATTCCACTTACAATGTCATAAAATGTCATCTGCTGATATTTCCTTAGCAAAATGATTAAAATAATCAGGTTCCTTTTCTCCTATATTATTAACTTCCCTCAAAATCGATGCTGCTTAATATAAAATACTTCAAAGTACTGTACTTCATTTTTATAATCGGATTGATCGCAGACTATCGCCGGTTTTCTGAGCCTACTGTCATTAAAACAATGATCCTTTGAGCGCGCCTCAGTTACGTGCTCCATAGAATCATGTCGATGACCATCAGCAGAGTGCCCGGCCAGCCCCCCCCCCCCTCCACCCTCAAATCGCCCCTGCTCTAACATGTTAAGGGTGGTGGGAGGACCGGACGTCGACAACCATCGTTCTGTGAAGCCCAGTCGACAAATGCTGCAAGTATTGCCATAACAGAATATTCTAAAGCATTGAATACTGCTTCGTCTTTAACTGTAATTTTAAAAAGACATTTGCAAATAACAGTCAAATTACTTTTTAAATTAAGAACATGAGCCAATGATAATTTTGTTTATAATGTTAAAGCAGGTATACTATACTATACTAGGCCTATTCATTCTGGTAAAGAATATGGTAACAAATAGATTTTACAATACATGATAAAATTAAAATGTTGTGATGGATATAGTCTGTAGACATTCCTTATTCGTCACATATTGACTTATTTTAGCGATTAACATGGTCATTTTATAATAAATGTTATTCCATTATTATTTAGTGAACATACGCCCGTGTATATCAGCCGCACTCACTCAAGTGGTACGTTCTACTTACCTTAACATATTGAATACTTTGCTGTGAGGTACTGTGGTGGGTCCAGATATTTTCAGGAGAGAGTGCAGAAAGAAGGAAACTCTTGTATAAATAACGCAAGTTTAAATGAATTTGGGACCGTCTTCTGTCTTTTTACCACCCCCCCCCCCCATCTGTCGAGAGACTTAAAGCCAACAATAATATTAGCCTTAAAATTGTTCTCATAAATGACTCCCATCCGTAAGTAAAAAAGCTGTTTACTATTTACTTAACATCTGTACATTTTTTTGCCAGCCAAAATTTAAAAGCACTTTAACATGTAAGGGTGGTGGGTGGGGGACGACCATCACCGCCTATGAATCCACCCTGGTGTATCACCTAGGTAGGGTCGGGATTACGCTAGAGTGGAGTCGGATGGCGACCCCTTGAAGATTTTGACTTTTTGTTGAGCCATTTTTGTTTTACCTCGTTTTTTTAACACTTTTTGGTTTTATGTGAAGCGAATAGAAACTTTTTGCATTACGCGCTACATAAATGTAACATTATTATTGTTATTATTATCATTATTATTATTATTATTATTATTGTTTTAAACAATCATTCTGTGAAGCCCAGTCGAACTATAATTTAGAAAGACTTTTGCAAATGAATTTTAAATAAATAAAAACATGAGCCAATAATAATGTTAAAGCAGGTTAGATAGGCATACTTGTAAAGAATATGGTAAAAAATGGATTGTACAATGCATGCTAAAAATTGCTGGATGTAGACATCTAACCGAGGTATACCTCCTTCATCTAACTAGCCGATGAGTGTATATCGACGTGAAAACAACCCTATTCCAAACTCAATGATAAATCTTCCTTTTAAAGCCTTCCAGTATTCTTTATAAGAAAGATGGATAGCAATAGCATTAGTATTCAATTCAATTCAAATCTCTATATTGCAATTTTTCAATACATGAAACGGTGGACAAATAAAACCATTAAAGAATCATATTACTTTACACCAAAAAAAGATTACAATGACAAATATATAAAAAAATACTTAAACACATAAAACCAGCATTAAAAATTGCTGGACGTCACATGTCAGTAAAAGTATAAACAATGAAACAATATACAATTATGTTTTAACATATCATTCTATATATTTCGAGTATTCGCAAATAGTTTTTTCTATTGTAAGTGTTTGATTAGGCCTATTCAAATTCTTGGTTGATTAACACGTATCTATATACAGGTACCTCCAATTAAAGACCACTTTTGAGTCTTTAGCAGCTTTGGTCTTTAATTAGAAAACATAATACTGTATTATTAAGATAAAAGGTAGACATTCACTTAGGACTGCAGAAAAGTAGTCTTTAATTGATGATGATCTTAAATTGGAGGGGTTTTAATTGCATGGAGAATTGTATGATCCAAATTGTTCAATTGTATAATTTGTACTAAAACAAATCGCTTTACCATAGAAACGAAATGAATATGATGTGGTTTTCATTCACTAATATACACTATAGCACGATCGATCTTATATAATGCAGAGTAATCAAACTACATTAATTATAATATGTTATTAGGGAATAAAACATGCGTTGCAGCTCAAAATTTTCAATTGTATTATATTATCATTGACGCTCAGTCGTGCGATTAACAGCGAAGTGAACGAAATGTTTTGCCGATCATCCTTGCTCATCATCGTCATCGCTGCCGCAAATATTCGTCCAACTACAAGTAGGCCACCTTATTGTGTCTATTTGAATAAATATCAGTAGACTAATTAAAATAATTTTAGCTTTTGTAGTAGTAAGTGCTTTTGGTCAGATACTTTTTATGATGTTAGGCCTAACCACTTTAGTCGACTTTTTGACTTGCCATAAATCCTGGTATTATATTATTTTCGCGCGCCCTTAATTTTCGCGATTTTCACGATAAGATGACGATGGGGAAAATTAAGGGGGCGCGAAAATCGCGACATCTTGAATGATAGGTTTGTCTTCAAAGGCAAAGA